TATCATGATTTTTACGAGATAATAAAGATAATTAGCAGATAAATTAACAACGTTTCACATGCATTGTAAATTGCCCGAGAGTTTTCGATTCGGTACTGCTAAACTGTGGTCGAGCGAGTGTTTTTTCGGTAATTTCAACTCTCGATGAGCGGTGTTACAGTCCATGAAATGGAGGTTATGAGCTTAAGGTAATTCAATAAATTTAACGTTATATATGCATATCTGAAATTTCCATTTTTTTAGAAAACTAAATAATATATACATATTGCATTAGTAAAGTTTAACATAGAGTTGACACTTTTGAGAAATTATCGAGCAAGAAACAGCGAAAGAATTTAAATGTACGAGTATTTGACATTTTTTCTGAAGATAATTACAAACCTAATTAATGCGATTCACATACAAATATCAATGTGTCTTGTTTAACGGACAAATAAAAAGTAAATATTATAAAAATGAATTAAATCCTAATTTAATTCATTTTATGACGTAACTGTGGTCGTTGCTTGTAACTGAAAATACTATCTACGTACCATTTCTCTCCCGTGCCTGTATTGGCTCTGTTGACGACATATTTTTTATGATTTTTCTATGCAAGCGCGTTCCTGTTCAGAGGCGTATTTAGGTTTATAATTAAAAATATATATATTTTTAACATTAGTAGGTTCGGCAAAGTGGCCACGCTAAGGAAAAATAATTGTTTGCAATAAAAAATATTGAAATTAACAAATGAATTTTTGGCATTACTTAGTTTGGTTATTTAGCAATATGCAAAAAAATCCTAAGATCTCATTACATTTACTTAAAGAGATAACATAACTTCCCCGCAACCCTACCAAATAGCCACTTTGCCCGAGGCGATAAGGCAAAGTGGTCACTGAGTAGCCACTTTGCCCGATTTAAAAAACTACAATGTGTAAACTGTTGCATTTTTTATTACAAGTACAAGCCTCGTATACCCAGAGTTGACAACTTGAGCACTCGATCCATGCTTCTCTTTCCCTTGACTTAAAAAAATACCCCCCACAGAACAAGCATTTAGTGTCGTTATGGTCACTGTCATCGAAATCTTCAAACAAAACACGATTAGTCGATTTCGATTTGTTTCTCCCTATAACTTTTATTTTTTTGCTCCTTCCTTCTTTTCGTTTTTTAATTCAAGTTTGATTTTATTTTGTCTTTCATTTTTTTCTCTTTCTTCTTTCGCTGCTTGACGCTCATTCTTGTATGGGCTTGATGTCAAAACGACCGAGGTTCCTTTTTCCGGATACTTTTTCTTTTGGTAATGTTTGTCTTAGAAATTACCAGAATATCTTAAGGACTTACTGCAAATGAGGATGAAGACAAGGAGCGTTTGTTTCCAGCAGATGAGGTACTTGGAGTGGAGAGCGGGTCTACAACAGTTGATGTACTGAGCTTAATTTATAGGCTTTTAGCTGACGAGATGCCCGATCTTGATGAATTTCCATGAATTAGAACGAATGCACTGTTGGGGATCTCTGGAACCTATAGTAAGTTGCACTGTTGTTGCCATAAAATGAGTTTACCGGAATCGAAACTTTGGGTTGAAGATTTGCAGATTCGCCATCAGTTTTATTAGACTGAGTTTTCTCTTGTTCTGAATCCTGTGATACACGATTAACATTAGTTGGTGGGACTTCGGCTAAAGAGTCCTCTTGGTCTGAATCCTGTGACTCACTATTAACATCCGCTGGTGGGACTTCTTCCAAGAGGTTGGGGATATCTGTGGATTCTGCTGGGGCCAATTCGTCTTCAAAAAGCACTTTTCTGTTGATTAGAACTATACCACATCTTTAAAATACTTTTTACAGGAACGGACGAAGTAGCTGCATTTAAAAAAGCTTCCCCAAGAAGGCGGGACACTTGATATTGTGTTACAACCCTACCAAGATTATTTCGAAGAATCTCTTAATCACTTGGATATAATAAGTATTCAATGATCCCATAAAAGGTACATCCACTGGCTGCAATTTATGACTGCAATGTGGTGGAAGGCAAACTATAGTGGTGTAAGTGTCCCTAGCCTTTTAAATGAAATTAAGGATCTTTGTGTGTGTGTGACGTGTCTATCTAGTATTAGCAATATAGAGTCTGCTCTTGATGGTTTGGCAAATTTTAAGAAATATTCCAACCATTGATAAAATATTTCAGTGTGTATCCACTCTGAGGAGAAGCAACAAAATGCCGTCCCAGACTGGAGCACCATCTTTAGGTATTTCTTTCATTCGCTATCTCGGAAATATGACAAAAGAAGGGATAAAACGTCCACCCGCTGACGCACAAACTACAAATGTAGAAAGAGTTCTTCTTTCGGCAGATGTAAGGGAGCCAACTTGCTGCCTACCTTTTAGTGCAAAAAGTTTTTGAGGGTTTTGACTGGACTGTATTCTTCAATTTAAAGAAACTGTTAGTTATTATTCCATCAAAAAACACATAACAGAATCAGAAAAACATACCCAAACGTCTATCAACTTTTTAAAGTTGCGATTATTCAACCTTTTTCAAGTGCGACGTGCAAGAGGTCTTTTTCTGCCATGAGGAGGTTTTTTAATTGGTTGAGAACGACCATGACTCAAGACAAACATTCAGATTTGTCTTTGTTTTTCATAGAAAAAGATGTTGATATCGACTTGGACAGTGCTGTAAATTCTTTCAGTCAATAGCGTAGAAAACTTCTGTTGTAATCAGTACTTTAATATTAATCGTTATATTTATAAGTTCTTAAATGTATTGGTTATATTGAAATATTAAAACCACCATTCACTATTATAGCGTAGTTTTTACCATTCATTGCACCGCCATTAATGAAAATATAAATTTTAATTCAACGTACACCTGGGGCCACGGCCCCCCTGGAAACTACGTCGATGCCTATTTGAGTGGACGAGGCATTTGCCGCATCTTGGCAGCACCGTAACTTGATAAAATAGTCAGTAGCCACTTTACCTGCCATGGTCACTTTGCCCATCCTTCCCCTAATCCTTAAAAAAATATATAAAAATGCAACTCTTTTGGTCAATACGAATTTTTTTGATTTTGTTTAAATTTATTTTAGTAATAAAAAAATTATATATCTGTTTCTTTTTCAGGTAAGGGTTCATCCTGATTTGCAGAAGAGAAAAGGTAACGTATTCTAAATCGCAGATTGAGACGTCAGCCCAGTAAGAATGATAATGGTATAGCCTAAGTTCGCCCAGAAATATACCGCAGGGTCGGCCTTCACTGCGTGTAATCTCTATATTAAAAAATTGGCAAAGAACCAGACCATACAATATATACATTTTGTAAATAAAAAAAAAAAAAATACATGTATACCGCTAAAATAAAAGTATCTAACAATGTATAATAATTTGACATATTTATATTGAAATTATAGAAAAAGTCGAAATATAACTGAATATTTATTTTAAATACCCCTAATTACAGAGGTTATTTAAATTAATTGTGTCATCGCCTGAATCAAATTCCAGTGAGATTATAACTGTTTGAATGCATGGACTTATACGGCCATTATTAGCCTTATGCTAAGAGACGTCGCTTTTAGCAGAAATGTAATTTCTATTAAAGACATCCAGATTATAAATCGCCATGCGTTACCAATTCGATAATGGTGGGTGAAGTTTTCCGGGTTTTCCTCACCTGCTATTTAAATGGCACTATCAATCATCTTCAAGTTACCCCGGAGCGTCATGGAAAATAATAATAACCCTTCCCCATACAAGCTCAGTCGGCATTAGGGGGTGAATTAGGGAAAATATTATTATTATAACGAATATTCCCTTGTAAAATTCAAGGAAAGATAGGGTAAAACAAGAAACCAGAGTTGCCAGGGAGCTTTTAAGTCATCCCGACAACACTACAGTAAACAAATACTTGACTATGACTAGACAGAATATGCGCCTGATCATAGGCATTCTGACCGGTAATTGCCAAGAACTGAAGCATCTCCATATCATGGAGCTGTCAGAATTAGCTTTCTGCAGGGTGTGCGAATAATAAGATGAGACCATCGAGTATATCCTCTACGATTGCCCGACGCTCTCATTTATTAGAAGATTTGTGCTAACACCGGCCGATATAAGAGAAGCGACGTTGTCAAGTACATTAAACTGTAGGCTGGCTTACGAGCTAGGAAGTGCCTATATACTTAGGAGGATGCTCAATGGACCTAGTGAGGTCTTAGTGCCTTGTGTTAACCCACCCTACACACGTTACAGATACAGACAATAAAAATATTCAGTGCTCAAAAGAACCAAATATTGTGCTCTAAGGTACCTCAAAAGAAACATCAAACATTAGACCATAGTGTGACCAAATAAAAACAAACTAGTCAAATTAAAATTTTAAATTGTTGATAATAAAATACGGTTAAAACTATATAAATTTTTATTACAAAATAAATAAATTTAATTTAAACAAGGTCGAAAAAATAAATCTCACCTCCGTGGCTCCATTGGATTAAAAGGGAATATAATAAATAAAATAAAAATTAAGTAATTAATCATATTAACCTGACCAACATTATTATATTAATATACATTGGACACATTTTTAACATAATTAAACAGATAATTTAACACACTGACAACAAATGAAAAATACAACAAATATTCTAATATTTTTTTAATCCAAATCCAATTAAAATATACAATTTTAAATTCAAGCTATAAACATAAAACAATAATTGGTTAAAATATAAAAATCTTGAAATCCAGCGATTAACGTTCCAAATTTGGCAACGGCGTATTTAGTAAAACGCCTTTCGGTTCAGCAACTATTCCAAGAAAGGTTAAATATCTTTATCTCTCAACTAAACCGTAATAAAACCTTTTTTTCTGTTTGACTGACTTTGTGCCAAATTTAACCCAAAAAATTTCCATCAAGTTCAAAGAGCTTCTAACCGAAAGTATTCGCAGAATTAATTTCACCAAACGCATTTAAATTTCGAAAATAACATAAAACTTGTTATACCTACCGCTTTACAACAAAACTCTGACTCTGTCGTAAACTACAAGTAATAGAGCAGCACCAGTGCTAAGTAGAGTGTTACAGAAGGCTCCTTTATAAAAAGCCATAGGCCCTTCAGTTCTGGCTATTTTAATCCAGCAGTGCATGCTACTAAAATACATAATATTACTCTCTAACCGACATGATTGCATCATCATCCTACGTCTCACTGTATCAAAAGGATAAGCCAGCATAGCAGCTGCAGATGTAGCAATTTGAGCTGTGAAAAAAGCAGCCCAAAACGAGTTTTGAGGTATCTTCTCCTTCGCTGTATCATACAAACCGAAGTACACAGATCTGTAGATGATAATACCATTAATGGATGTAAAAAATCCCCTGTAAAGACCTTGAGGACCATCGGAATGTAGAGTTTTAAGGAAACAATCTGCAAGTCCATGATATTGTCTACCTTCAGTAATATCTGACGCCATTCTAGTAGCGAGATAATCGAGCGGGTATAATAGGCAGGTAGCTGTAGCTCCAGCTGCACCACCGGCAGCTAAATTGGCTACGAAATATCGAAAAAAGCTACTGTTTTTATCGACACCTGTCACAAACATATCGTGGTAAACGTTTTTAAAAGTAAAATTGAACGCTGCGTTAAAAAAGGATCTGATAGTATTGGCCGTATTCCCTCTCCAGAAACCTAGCACGCCGTCTTCTTTGGGAATACGTAAACACGCGTCAATGATGCCTTTGTATAACCTCTCTTTGGGTATATGCGTGTGAGTGGCTTGGAGTTGTAGGAGGAGCTTCACTCTGGCTATCGGAGCTACAGTTACCATTATTAAAGCTGATGATGAACCGGCTATTAGGAAATCTTTTGAAAGCCTTTCTGTTAAAGGGATTCCAGAAAGTGGTTTTGGTTTTTTTCGTGGGGTAGGCATGTCGCCCAACTAGCATCGAGATTGAATGTCTATCGTTGGTACTCAACATTTTATGGCAGTATAATGTGACATTTTCTTTACTGTCAAATTGACTGTATACGTTTTGTTCTTCTCTTAATTTTTTAATTGTTTTTTATAGGTATTCAGCCATTTAAGTTTGTAAGATTTTCTCATCTAGTAAAGAGTACTTTTTAATTATTTATAGATTTTAATAGCTGACAGACTAATTGTTATGTGATCGAAGATTTTATCTAAAATCAGCAAAGTTCATAAATTAACTACTCTTACTTAATTTATTACTTCAACCTAACTTAAATCATATTCCTGCGTGATGTTAAGATATTAATGTAGCAATTGAAGTAACTGAACTGCCTTTCTGAACTCCGCTATTATTGTTGTAAATTGAATTTTTTTGCAATGAACTTTTTTAGTCGATAGTATCTGTACTGTACTTATGTTTTATTAGGCCTATTGTGCATCTTCTTAAATCGGGGAGGGGGGGGTCATTTTTAGCATGTGAGCGGTGCATCTCTTATGTAGGACCGGTAGAGGAAATATTCGATAGTCTCATATTCTTGTTCGCATCCCATACAGAGTGCCTCCATGCTATGGAGATGCTTTAGCACTTGGCAATGACCAGTTAGAATAACTGTAATCAGGCACGCGTATTCTATCTAGCAATAGTCAAGTATTTGTTTTCTGTAGTGTTGTCATAGTAGCTTTTTTTTTTCATTTCACCTATACTTTTAGTTTCACAATGGAAAGTTCTTTAATCAGCTTCATCACGACCGATATCAGTAATCTAATGGAAAGGCCAACTGCTTCCTTGGCTAGTGAATTGGCAAAACGGTTAACTATCGATCCATCTTAAGGTGAGACCATATTATTGATATATACTTCAAAAAAGGATTGATCATATTCTAGTGGTTTAACCAGTGCTTGATTGCCAATGATATTGTTTCTTGTATGCTATGAAAATCTCCATAAGCTGTACGGAGTCGTGTTATTGTAATCAGAGGTGCTTCCCTGATCAAGGGAAGGGAAGTGGATCCTGTTATATTGAGACATGCTGTTCTTTGAATTTGTTTTATTTTGCGGATAGTTGTGAATTTTTGGGTTTTAGGTACTCGGACAGAGCACCGTGTATTAACCAACGTCTTATGATGGCCAACATGGACTTACCCAACTCATGTTCGGCGACATTGTTCATAAACAATTATGCTTTTTGACTATCTTATCTAGTAGTGATTTTAGTATTAACTTGCAGTCAAAGGCGAGACCTCTATTTTAAAGTTGAATTTTGTATTTTAGTGCCACTACCTTTCATTTTCTTATAAAAAGGACCATTTCTGTCTTCTTGAGCTAGCTAGATAATGACTGGTTCTTGCATATGCTTCTTTAATTTAGAGAGCTACTTTCATAAGTACGAAGGGTATCTTCTCAAAATTCCTTGCCTGAAGAATGACTTTATGTACCATTGCATGGAGTTTAGCTTGTACTTGCCTCGACACATTACTCTACCTGTAATCTTACTGTAGACTCCTTTAGATAAGCACCTTCCATTACTAAATTTTCAATTTTAACGAGTATTGATGTAATCACATATTATAAATAAAAACTTATTTGACAATATATATTTTTATTTATTAACTCGAAGTTGCTTTGCTTTATCGAACGAAACTAGAACGAGAGCCGATCCTACTCCTGCGATCGAATTAGAAAATCCGCCTTTATAGAAACCCAAGTACCCTTCGTTTTTGATGATATGCCTCCAACATTCGAGTGTGCTTTTATAAATGATTTCTTTGTCAGTCAGCCCGGATTGCATCATCATCCTGCGTCTTACGGTATCAAAGGGATAAGCTAGTAAAGCTGCGGTGGTCGTGGTGGACGTGGCTATCAAAAAAGCTACAAAAAACGAAACGTTATCTGGATCTGTAAGCGTATATTTAGCTGTATCATACAAGCCGAAATATGCCGACCGATATATTATAATTCCTTGTACGGAAGTGATAAAACCTCGATACAAGCCGGGGACTCCATCAGCTTTGAGAGTTTTAACCATGCAATCTATAATTCCTGTAAATTTTTTTCCACCGATGTCGGCTCCAGTTCGGGTAGCTGAGAATTCCAACGGATACAAAATGGACGTCGAAGTAGCTCCTGCTAAACCTCCTGCGGCTAAATTACCGTAAAAATAGGCCCAGAAATTATTGTTTCGGTCAACTCCTTCTACTAACATTCTATAACACATTCCATTAAAGGTGAAATTGAAAGCAGAGTTTGGAAAAGCTTTGATTATCTTTGCTTGGGTTCCTCTCCAGAAACTAAAGAATCCTTCTTCTCTAGGAATGCGTATTAACGCGTCGAACATCCCTTTATAAGATTTTTCTTTCGATATTTTCGGATCAGCTCTTTGTACCTGCAACATTACCTTCACTCGATCCAAAGGAGCTTCGAGAATCGTAATCATAGCTGAGGTGGAGCCGGCTGTGAGGAAATCTTTTATGACCGTTTCAGTATTGGTGTGGGTGAATTTCTCAAATTCGTTCTCTATTTTCGGCATACATATACGGTAATTTATCGAACATTTACGTGATAAATAATCTTGTTATTTGTGTTTTCATGTTTGAAGTGAATTTAGAATGTGGAGGTACTGATTCTTTATAGCTGGAATTTTGATCATTTGTGTCAGTTTAGTGAGGTTAGGAGTGCAACCTCCTGTTTTCTTTTTCTATTATATATGACCTCTTGCTTTTAAGCTACCGCCGAGTTTATGTTTTATGTGAGGGCAGATCTCTAGAATGATTCAAGGTAATCATGGTGCGTAATTTTTCTAATATTAAAATTCAATTTTGTATTTGGTATTGTACCTATAAAGATTAGGTTGTACCTTTGAGGTTAATTTGGATGTAACATAACATTATGGCCTCTTACTTCTAAGCTACCGCCGAGTTTATCTTTTATGTGAGGTCAGATCTCTAAAATAATTTAAAATAAGCACATTGTGTAATTTTTCTATTTAATTTAATTTTGTATATAGTTTAGTACCTTTGAGGTTAATTTGGATATATCATAACATTATTTATAGCATTAAAATGTAGTGAACTAATGTAGTGAATTTGCCTGAGTATTTACACTATGAACTTTGTTTTTAAGGTTTAATGAATTTTAGAAGGTTTTCCGCATTACAGTGATTATTTAATAAAAATAAAATAAATAGCGTTGAATGCGTGGGAAAATTGAAATAGCAAGATGGACAGGGCCTTATATGCATCACTAGAATGTCCTTCACTTTGTCGATGAGTCGATGAATAGTATTTTAGAATAATAATTGCAACCGATCTCATGAAACTCAGTCAATCAAGTAAATAAACATAATAGATGTATATATTTGTAACTAAACAAATAATTACATTGGAAACACCACATGGTCTGTTATCCCTAGGTATTCATTGGTTATGTCCCGCTAGGATTAGTTAGGTAGGTATATTGCCAGTTGTTTTCATGGTATTTTATTTTCTGACCAATTCTGTCATTAATAAACACAACAGTTGATATAACATTTATTACAATCATCAATATTTGTTTTTAAAAATGCTCGACAAATAAATATCACTGAGAAAACGACTACCTACTTAAAAAATACATTGTTTCATGTATATGAGTACCTTTTTTCCCAACATTTTCTTGATGCATTATACGACAAATTACCGTTAATTCGCTTAGTCACGGAATTTTTTTTTCTTCATAGACCGCAACCAGTGTAAAGGTCTATCAAATAATAAACCAGATGATATCAAATCCTCAGCTTGGTTCTGTGCGCAAGATATAGATAACAGATCGACAATGTAGGTATATATAATCGGAATTGACGGAAATTATCCTCTTTAAAAAGTGAGTCATCTGTAAGAAACGCGCTTGTCTGTGTTTAGTTACGTGGTTGCCATATTTCAACAAAAATCCAGGATATAGAGAAATTCATAACAAAAAAGTAAATAAGTTGAAATAAAATTATCTGTAATAGGTATTTTTATACAAGTGACATAAAAAATGTTAGAATATAATAAAATAATGAAATGAACACGAAATTTCAATTATCTTTCGGAAAGTACACAATTTTTCATAATTTTGTGTTTTGTTTTCCCAGACTTTTCTGATTAATGTAATATCTAATACAATTTTAAATTTTCGGCAATGAACTATTTCATGGGTTACTATCATGGACTGAGTGTAATTAGGGACATAGGTTCATTGCCAGAATTTGTTATATTTTGACTCGATTCACAAGCTATAGAAATCTGTAATATGTATTCAGAAAATCACTGTATTCGCAAAAGTAAAGTATAATAGACTGACATGTTAGTATCGTTGGATAGGTAAGTACCTATATAACAAATTAAATGCTGAAATAATACACAATATATTTGAACAATATTTAAAGTTATCAAAATTTTGGACAGGGTCCCAAAACACTCAGTATAAATTGAATAAATTTCTCGGGAAATTAAATGTTAAGGTCACCCTGTAACATAACTCAAAGTTATTCTAGGTTTGAATACATTAGTAGGCCATTCTAAACCTAAACTAAAATACACGGTGTTCATATTCAAAAATAATTTGTTAAGAAAAATGACTACGTATTCAAATTATTTTTTTACAATTCTTTTAGATAACAAATAATGGATATTTTCAATAACATCCTAGTTATTAGCATACACTGGAATGATCGGAATACGTTTGTAGAATTCCTAAAATATTTAGATAAAAAATATTTTTCATTTAATCATATTTTATCTGACCGAACTCGTGACATATTTTATTTTCAACAGGAATATTTTGTAAAAAATCAGTTTATTTCTTCTAGTTCAACAAAATGTTTTTGGGCGAAATATTTTTTGGTAATCATCGATTATATATTTAATTTTCCGTTTTTATATCATTTTCTCACCCACAAGAAAAAATATCAAATATTTTAGAACGCTATAAAGAATAGGCAATATCAGTCAACTAAACGTAAATAATTTTCATGTACACACATGAATCTGAAACTCATCAATCACAATTTACCGTACACAGTTTACAGTACTCAATGCACTGTACTTAGTTCACAGTTAATAGTACACAGTACATAGTTCATTGTTCAGAGTTAAAGTTTACAGTTTACAGCTTACATCCTACAGCTCACATCTTAGAGCTTAATGCTTTCAGCTTAGGGTACACAGTTCACATATAATAGTTCACAGATAACAGTGCACAGATAACAGTTCACAAATAACAGTTCACAGATAACAGTTCACAGATAACAGTTCACAGATAACAGTTCACAGATAACAGTTCACAGATAACAGTTTACAGATAACAGTTTACAGATAACAGTTTACAGATAACAGTTTACAGATAACAGTTTACAGATAACAGTTCACAGATAACAGTTTACAGATAACAGTTTACAGATAACAGTTCACAGATAACAGTTTACAGATAACAGTTTACAGATAACAGTTTACAGATAACAGTTCACAGATAAGAGTTCACAATTTACGGCTAACAACAGATAATTCACAGCATACAGTTCACAGAACACAATTCATAAAACGCAATTCATAGTTTTCACAACAAAATTTACAGTTCACAGCGCATGACTCACAATGCACAATTCACAGAATACAGTTCGCAGTAAACAATTCACAGTTAACAATGCATACTTCACAGTACACAGTTCACAATGCAGTTCACAGTAAACAGTACACAGTAAACAGTACGCACTGCACAGTTCATAGTACACAGTACTATGAAAGTACACAGTACCCGACTTTTGTTTTTACATTAAAATTAGTTACTAAGCTGTCAATATAATTAAGAATATATTTTTTAGTTATGAGGGTAAACAATTTAAAAAATAAAAATTCCAGAAGAATCGATAAAAACGCTCTTTGGTTGTTATGGGATGTTTAACTAAAATTCGTTCTTGTAAGTTTGGCATAAACCAGTGGTGTTACAAAGAGGAAAGAATATTGAGAACAAAAGTATATTACTTTTAATATCGCCATTTTATCGAATTGGTCTTATCGACATTAAATACGCAATAAAAAATTATAGAAATATTACAAAATTAACTTAACATCTAGACATATAAGAGCTGGTTCAGATACAGCAGAATCCGCGCGGTTCGCATGTGCACGGATCAACTGCATGTATCTTATTTGCATGAAAGTCTAACTAGTTGTTCACATCAGGCCAGTGTGAACAACTATACTTTCATATAAATAATATCCGCGCGGATTCCGCTGTCTGAACGAGGCATTAAACTACAAACAGCGTGTATTTATTGTAATAGAAAATCAAAGGATATATCAAAATTAAATTAAGTAAACATTTAAACATATAAAACTACAAAAACAATTTATTACAAGGGAAAATTAAAGGCATAATTGGACCAAAATTGGTCTTTAAATGAAGAAAACAGAAACAGAAAACATTGTATATTTTACGTTAAGAAACGTTGGCAAGAATAACAAAGATTGTGAAGATAAGGTGTAGGAAAGGTATCTATTAAAAATGAAGATAATGCTTTTCTCGATTTTAACAGCTATAGCAAAATTAGTGTTATAATATTGTAATGTGAGCCATTTTATTATTCAGTCATGCTCTAATCCTCCAAGTCCCTCTCTGTCTTATTTGGCCTTTGAGGCTCAACTTGTCCGATTATCATACATAATTAAACCCCTTTTCGAGAAAGAACGGGATAATGTTTCTAGTATATAGGTGAGAATAGGTGAACTTTTTAACACCTTCGCCAAACTTTTAAATTTGTATATAAATATTGGTGGAGGACCTAGCGGGAATTAATTAGTAGATAGACAGTGGTGAATATAAATAGTGAACGATTCAGACATTCGAAATATATATATATATATATAAATTAGAATAGTAGTGTTATAAAATAAATAAGTGTTTAAATAAATTATTAATAAATAAACTGTTGTTTAAAAATAAACAAACATCACAATATTTTATTGCACAAATATTGGCTGCCACAACACTTTCCAATCTTCTCGGCATGGACAAAATTGGACAAAATGTGGCATGTCGTAAGAATCTACGAGCTCTTATCCTAAGCGTTCTCAATGCTTCAAATAGTTGACCACGGTATATCTTTTTGACTATGACGCTATGAGCTTTAAGTCAGGACTTTTTGCTGACCATGGCAAAACCTTTGTTGTTTTTTGGACCCACTCTCTTACTATTCGAGCAGTATGAAGTGATGAATTATCCTGTAATAAAAATCATTTAATATTTATGAAAAATACTGTTGGATGGTTTAAAATATTAGGAAGTCAATTAAAATATTTTTCGATTGGCCTACATTTTGTTTTAAAATACCGATTAGCTTTCTTTTATTTAATTCAAATGAAAATAGACCAGTTACTTTGGGACACGTGTGCGCCAATAATGTCAAATTCGAGGAAAACGTCAACGTTCTAGTTAGATTTGAATGTGCAAAAGCCTACTTTGGATAGAGATCGTAGAAAAAAATCTATTTCAATCGACAACGCTTTGATACCACATTAAGATCGCAAAAAAAATTAGCAAATTTGTTTCTGTGCAAATTTAAAGACTTCCTCTGCTTTTCTATATTTGAGATATTAGTAACCTGTTAAAATTATGTGGTGTTATCCCTGATACCCATATACACAAAAATACCCAACATTTAACTACCTTTAGGCGATCTTTCATGCAATTTAGTTGAACAAAACTGAGTTTGACTGGATTTTCGCTTCATTAACACCACATGCTCATCAAAATATCAAAGTGCACAGACCTTTCCTCGACGACTCGGCAACACCGCACCGCGACTTCGCGGTTTCGAACGGCGTTTCAAACGTTTTGATTTTCATGCCCAGTTCTTCAGTTTAGTTCGCATTGGTCTGGCCGCATAGCCACGGCAGTAAGCGAGTATTCTTGTGGATATTTGACAGATACACTCGCGATATCTATATCAGATCCATCGATTTCGACATGATCGTGCGCTAGTTTGAAATAATTGACATATCGGCGATGGTGTTACGCAAAAGTGACAAAATGTGTTCCAAGAACGGATATAAGGATTCCAAAGGTAATCGATTTTTTGCATTATTTGTTGCTCAAGATTGCTGTTCGATCAATTTCGAAATGTTTTTTGTTTATATAAATTCTATAAATTTACTGTTTCGAAAGCCAAATCCGCCAATTTAGTGTTTACGCATCAAATCACTAATACTGATTCACCTCATTTAGATTGTTCTCTATCTTGAAAACGATTTTTCTCCAATTTGTTTAAACTATTCATTGAAATAACAAAAATATATTTAGTTGGTACTAATACTTAGTTTATTTCATTTTTACAAAATCCACCTGTAGCTATAAATTCAAATTTATAATTTTATAAGATTTTTTAGATAGGTTACACTGAATATTATGAGCATTAACGGTATTAACAAAAAATCTTTAATATAAAATACATTTTTTAATAAATTTACTTCTTATGTGAAGAATTTAATGAAATTATTAATATTTTCACTACCTACCATATTATTATAACTATGTATCAGATAATAAAAAAAATCCTGTATAATTTAGTAAGATGTCTGGTTGTAACTACTTTAATCTGTTTTAATTACATGCTTTACATTTATATAAATGTATAAAATAATGACACAAAATTGATATGTTCTATACTGGTTCAAAAACAACTAATTTTTGAAAAATTAAAATCTATTCAAAAATGTTAAAAAACTGTTTGTGCCTAAACATCCTAAACATGAGTAATATTGTTTATATTCGTTTATATTGTAAAGACAATAAAAATATTAGTCACTCTTCTTAATACTGTCAAAATTTATGATCGTACTAGAATAACATTTTAAAACATACCTAATTAATTTTGAAATGTAAACATTAAAATGCATTAATTATATATTCTAAAGTTACGTAATCTGTCACTTGTAACACCATACAAGTTTTTTAAATCCTCCTTAAGAAGTTGGTGAATGCGCATGGGCGTGTTGTACCACCCAAATGTGGCGAATCAGTAGGAAGCGCTTGTCCGTTTCAAAACATAAACATTTACAACTAACGTTAATGTCAAGCTTAAATTCAATAACATATTAATACTGTTAGATAAACATTTAGATAGCAAATAAATATAAAAATATTATTACTCGCCGTATCATTGGGAGAGGTAATGGATTTGACACAATTCCTGACGCAAATATTTTTATTTATAGTGATATGGAAATTTAATTTTGGGATGGGTAAATTTTAATCACAAATTATTTTCAATCCTGGGTAGGCTCAATTATCTAAAATATTAATTTTCTTTTAAATAAACTAAATATATTAAAAATATTCCTTTTGTGTTCTTCCTACTGCGCTTCAGCTGCTGTAGGTCTCCATCTCTTCCCTTTTCAAATTTAACTGACTTTATTATATCTATTCTGTCGACTACTTACTTGCTACATGCAGCTGCCATTGCTCTATCTTGTTTTGCTATTTAATTCTTTTTTATTCAATTTTTTCTTTTCACTTTTACTTTCAGTTTCTTTACTATATTCTTAATTCATTTGTTTCATTCCTTTCCTATCTTTGATATTTTTAATTCTTCTACCTTCCGAACTATTTATTCTTTCTTTCAATTATTGGCTGTATTTCTTTATAGTGTCATCTTGTCATTACTTTCTCATTCTGTTTAATCTGTTTTCCTATTTTCCTTTCCAATCCAATTTGATTAATGATTTCTTCTTTGTCTTCTATCCCATTTTCTCCATTTTCTTATCTATTTTTAATAGCATCATCATTATTGGATAATCTCTCTATTTTTCTTCAATTGTCGGTTCATGTGCGTCTTTTTCGTTAGTAGCAGGTAAATATCTACAAGCTAAAAATCTAAATTATCCAGATTTTGTTTTTCTGATACAACTCTCTCTCCATGTTCTATTGTCTTTTCATGTTATTCCATCGACCCAACCTTCTTCCCTTCTTAAATCTATTTACAATATTACTATTAATATTACGAAATCACATATATACATATTAATAGAGGATAATCTTGATATCTATCATGTATTATATCAGTCTTTTATTAGAATTCAATGTTATTTACAGTATTTCAAACTCAAGACAAACACATACAAACACACAGCTAATGATATACATACTGACTATCTCACAATATAATAATTTCACACCCAAATCAACAGTTCCACACAATCAGGGCCGCCGAGAGCCAGACCGGACCTCAGGACAATTCTCCAGATCGGGCCCTGCGACAATTTTATAAAAAATTAAATAACAAAAGGTCTTCAAGCAAAAATTTATCCTCCTCTCCTTGAATCTTTCTAAAAAAAGGCCTTCAAGCAAAAATTCCTTCTCCTCTACTTGAATCTTTCTCCCTCGTCTGTAGAACTTCTGAAAATAACAAACACCACCGCTGCCGGGCTCCCATTTGAGCCCGGGCCCCGAGAATTAGTCCCGGCTGTCCCTCCCTCTAGTCGGCCCTGCACACAATATGAACATTAAAAGTCTTACCAATTTTTTTGAAGAATGTTTTAATTTCTATTTTTACTTTAGTCCAAGATTTGTAAAGCCCCACGTTGGGCGCCAAAGAGGTTTTCATATTTTTCCACATTTTTATTTATAATTTTCAAAACTGGGAACATAAATAATGTCGAAGGGGTGTTTTTTAAATTCGAACAAATATGATTTATAATTGAAGGGGTTAGAAGCAAAACGGTTCAAGTGATATATTTTTTTTTAAATGAGTTAAGTACCCTTTAACCTAGATCAAACTACACGTTATCAATAACATGCTTTTTCAACCAGCTGACAGATGTCGTTACTTGTATCATTTTACCACAAAAAAATAGTTTTAAATAACGAAATATGCACTTAAGTCATTTAAAGAAAATGTCACTTGAACCCTTTTACTTCTAACCCCTTCATATATTCTTTTTATTATGTAAAACTATATAATCCAAAAATTATTTATTTTAATTAAACATGTACTTATTCAGCAACCCTGGTACAATATATACCATTACGAAGATGTTCTATTTTTAAGTATCGCCGAATACATTAAGTCTCCACGAGGTATATGACCTTCCTTCTAAATTGAAAATAGTCTGTGATGTGAAGATGAACGAGATAACTATACAAAAGTGTCATTCTTAACTGTAGAAAACAATTAAGCCGTTATGCGCCCTTTTAATGGAGTCAAAAAAGTAATAAAGATTTAAGGCAAGGCCCTTTTGTCGAAAGGTTGGGCATTCTTGTTAGGATTAGTCACAGAGGTTCGTGTTAAAAGGGTTTTGAAGGGGTTGATGTGGTGTTCATTTAATTATTAATACAAGGGTAAAATACTGACTATATTTGCATTTAAAATAGTAGTTAGTGCAACAAGAGTGGATATGGACAATCCATTCGAATTATATTGTACAGTATATTTTTTCTACGACCCACTAACGAAAATCTACAAATTTAAAAAATTATTTTAGGTAACTAATTTTAAAATAATTTATGAACTACAAATAAGCATTGAAGAATGAAGTATGAGTAAAATGTCTACCTCTTGAATCTGTACTACTTAGGGCACATGTTCATTCCAATAATTAATTCTTTCCTGTCTGCCACTCAATCAGGTTTTTATAAAGGCTACATCTGCACAACTGCTCTATCTACTCCATGTTTTGAATGATATTAGATCTCTGGACAAGGGTTATTGTACATTATTGGTTCTACTAAAGTTTAGTGGCATTTGACACTTTTGAATGTCATCTATTCTAACTTATACTGCGATGTCTCTTCCAGAAGGCGGTGTATCTGTTAAATTCGTTCCTTACAAATCAACAACAGCTTGTTACAATCAAAGAATACTCTTTTCCTTAGTCAGATTTCTAATATGGTGAATATCAGGGTTATTACTTGGATCCCTTACTTTTTGCTATGTATGCACTCAATCTTTTGAAATTTTTTCAAATATATAACGTCCACCTATATGCAGATGATACCCAATTCACAGTTTTGATATTTTGATCCCACTAAAATACATATAGGCGTATGCTTGTATAAATACAGAACTTGACATATTTGTAAAATCATCTTCTGACAACTGTTTGAAAATAAATTGAAGCAAATTGATTTTAATTGGTTTTGGCATTAGATAACGTGATTCTGAAGTAGATAATCTAAACATATTGGTTTAAAATGAGCTTCTTAAATTATTAAATCACGTTAAAAGTCTTGATGTAGTTTTATATACTGTATGGTTTTTAAATACTAGGCCAGTGTTTCTCAAAGTGTGCTCCGCGGAGCCCTGGGGCTCCGCAAAGCCTTTGTAATGGCTCCGCGAAGATAATAATAGTCATAGTAAAAAAAAGTAGAGCAGTACTATGAGGAAGTTCGTGCGTACGTGAAAATTATTATCTATTACCAGTTCACCTCATTTGGGTAACTAAAGTTAAAATGGGATAATTAAAAGTCGCGACTTATAATCTGCTCAACGATTATCATGGAAATGGAAGAATTATTTAAAAACCAAGCATATTATTCAAAATATTTTTTTCGGATTTTAAAATTTTATCGCAAAAAATGGTAGTGGTAGAGAAAAACAGACAAAAACACAACCTCATTACTTATTGATGTATATTTAACATAACAAGTGGGAAAAGTTTACTAAAACAAAAACATTTAAACAGAGAACTTATATTATGTATTTATTCAAAAGGCAATGAATGGGCAATAGTATTGTTGGCATCATTGTTGTTTGATTTTTCATAATTTGCATATTCTATAATAATATTTGTCTCTATTATTATTTCAAATTTGTTTTTATGATATTGGTAATACTTAGTAAACATGTTTTCACCTGGGAAAAAGTTATTACTATTATCAATCAATATTACTCTAAAAAATTCTTCTGAAATATTTTTGGAAGTACTGATTAATAATCATCTCCAGTCACTTTGTTATGTCTCAATTTTGCATTTATCTGAATAAATTCAATAATTTAAATCGACCAAGAACCACCATCACCAACAAAAAAAAGGAATCTGTATCTGTAACGTGTGAAGGGTGGGTTAA